TTTATATTATTAATACTATAACTGCCTTTAATATAGTGTACTTTTTTTATAATATTTTTATAAAGACTATATAGGAGGCACTTTATTACTGCTAGATTAACGTCTACTAAGGACCTCTAGACTAGATTATTACTAACGTAGGCAAGAACTTTACTGTGACTAAATTTTTATATAAAGCCTGCGTAATAGGCGTTAAAGTCAAGATTATCCTTATTAAGGCGCACTATAGCGTTAAAAAGGTTAAATAATACTATATAGTGCTTTAATAAGCCTATAAAATTATATATAAAGAGTACCTAACTGCTAACTATAAATCTATCCTTTAGAGTATAGTTAAGGCAGTTAATAATACTATAGGCCTTAATAGCCTTATACTAACCCTCTTAGTATTTAGCGCTTACCCCTATATAACTACTAACTTTACCTCTTTACTTAATATTATCTAATAAGTAGCTACTATCTAGAAGGCTACTAACGACTTCTATAAGAGCTATATAATATACTAAGTTTATAAAGTACTTAAGGTATATAATAGCCTAGATACCTCTGCTGTTAAGGACCTATTGTTAGGTAGTAAGGTATAAGTATAGTGCAAGAAAGGTAAATAGTCTAGCCTATATTACCTACTATTTATTAATAATAAAGATTATATTATTAACATTAATAGCCTATATAACTTCTATTCTACCTTAGTTAAACCCTACTACACTAAGAAGAAAACAGGTAAGCCTACTAACGTAAATCCTTAACTTAACTAACCTATAGATACTAACTACGCTAGTAAACGTATAAAGGATACTATTGTTATTACTATAAGGACAAGAGCACTTATCTAAACTATAGCCTCTTTTCCTCTGCAGTGTACTTATAGGTAACTATATAAGACTTTAGTTAATATACTGCTATAAGAAATAGATAAATCTTCCTTTGTTACCTTTTTCTCTACTAAAGAAGAAGCTAACCTAGCCCTTGTATAATAACTATATAACTAAGGCGTTATTACTACACTTAGTAAGCCCTTTAAATAGTTAGGCAAAAGCAAGATCTAAGGCCTTATTAACTATAGTGTATTTAAGATTATTATATATAATCCTTCTATTTACTAGGGCTATATCTTTAAATCTTGCCTTATTAATAAAGTTAAAGGCAAAAATAATAAGCTATATAAGAAATTATGACTTATAGTACAAGGTTATAGTAATAATAGTAAAGAAACCTTACTAGTTTAGTTACCTATAATTTAGAGAGCTAGCTAGTATATAATTCTTGTGCTTACCTCTTCTCTTATAGCTAATAGTAAGGTAATATAGCTATAAGATATAACATAGGCCTATATATAGTTAACTTTATAACTTAACTACGCTATCTATATATAACTTCCTCTTTAAATCTATAATTACTACCTTTAAGGCACTATTATAAAGGTTATAAAGCTATTATATAGCTTTACTAAAGTAGGTACCTATTAGTAAGTAATATATAATTACTACTACTATAAGAAGCTTAATATAGTTACTACTTTATATAACCTATGCCTACTCCTTTTATCTATAAAAAACCCTAACTTTATAATAATTAAAATATAAATAGATAATATAATTAGCTTAACTAGCGTTAATTTCTTTAACTATAAGGATAATAAGCTTACTAAGGTAAAGCTCCTTATAAAAGAGAAAATTTTACTTATAAAGAATAAACCTCTAGTATTTAATAAAGGAATTATCTTATTAACTTTAGCTAAAAATACCTCTATTATACTTTACTAGAAGGGCTAAGGCGTAAAGCTAAGACTTATTAACAAGAAATTACCTATAGCTTAGTAAGACTATGTCTAGTAGTACACTTAAGGAGTATATATTACTTCTATCTACTAGCCTAAAGTATACTTTAACTTATCTACTATAGCCTAGTATAAGGAGCCTAATAGTAAAGCTATTTAGTAACTTAACTAGAGAATCTAGTAGTAGATAAATACACTTAACTATGGCCTTACCTTTGTTCCCCTTAACCTACCTAATGTAAAGCTCTTTATGTTTATTAATAGATCTTTTGCTAATAATTATAACTTAACTTTATAGTTAGGATTTATTATCCTCTTTGCTAATAAAGAGGTTAATAACTAGTAAGGTAAGTTTACTCTCTATAGTAATATCCTCTATTTCTTATTAACTAAATTTAAATAAGTAATATAAAGTGTTCTTATGTTAGAAGTCTATAGTATAGTTATAGGCGTTAATATAGTGTATACTCTCTTTATAACTATTATAATAGTAGTAAATAAGCTTAGTAACCTATTAATCTCTACTATTGCCTATACTAACTTGTACTTACTATATAAGTGCCTAGTAAAGTTAGGTACTACCTACAAGAAGTGCTTAATAATTAACATTATAGTACTATAATAATTATATAAGTAATATAAGCTTTTTAAGGTATAATAAATCTATAGCAACAATAACCTTACTAATAGGTTTATAAAGTCCTTACTAAACTAAGCACTTAAAAGTTTTATCTTTTATAATAAAGTAAAGATATAGATAGAGGGATAGGTTATATAAATATAATAAGAAATAATAGGAATAATAAGATATAGGATAATAGACACTTAGAGGAGGAAATAGGTTATATAAACTATATAGATTAATAGTAGTTAAATCTATTTAATATAAGTATATGCCTCTAATAGCTACAGCTAAAGAGAAATACACTTAAACAAGATAGTGTAAGCCTACCTTTGCTAGGTAAATAGATAAATAAATTTACAGTAGTATATAACTATAAAAAGTGTAATACTTTTGCTCTTCTTGTTTTTATTGCGTTTTTAGGCTTTTTAGGAGGAATAGGAGCGCTAGCAACTTTTACTACACAAGAAAGTTACTAGTGTTAGCATATAGGTAATATAGCTAGAGGCAGTAGGTTATATAATATACTGCCTACTAGCAGAATCCTTTACCTTTGCCTATACGCAAGGGTGCTACTACACTTATGCTTCTACTTTACCTTGTTAACTAGTTAACTATTAATAACTATAAATTTAACTACCTTTTCTTAACCTTTGTAATATCACAAGATATAGGATCCTTATTAATTAACTAGTAAAAACTAACAAGTATAAACTATTATCTAGTTTAGTGCTTAAGAAGATTACTAGGCTATCTTAAACCTTACTTTATTCTTATAGTAATAACCTACTATTTATATATATTAGATAGGTAGCTTTAGTATTAGAAGTAAAACTACTACTCTAGAGCTATAAGAGCTTTTTATAATAGTAGTAAATTTAAGTCTTCTTATAAGTAACCTAAAGCTTTTTCTTTAGTTATTATTTTTTTACTAATATAGTAAATCTATAAGATAAGCTATAGCTTTTTAAAGTACTTTTTTTAATAAGTAAAAAAAATAAAAGGTAACTAGTTAAGTTAATTATAGCTTAAGTACTACTATTACTATACTTAAGTATAGCTGTTTCCTAGGTAATATAGTAAGTATTTATAAGTATATTACTTACTAAGCTAGTTATCTAGGTAAAGCTTTTAGACTATTAAATAGTACTAAGTAGCTAAAGTAATAAGTAAATATACTATAAATATAAAGATAAGTATATAGTATTACTAAAGCTAAAAGCTATTTTCTTTTTTTTTTTACTTTTTTTCCTAAGGAATTTTTAGTATATATATACTTACTTTACTTTTATATACTTTTTAAGTATATAACTATCTTATATACCCTATAACTATATTAATTTATAATACCTTTTTATTAATGTCTTTTTAATTATGCTATTATATATATAAATAATACTTTACTTATTAAGAAATATTTATATAATAAATCTAAGTTTACTATAAATACCTATTTAAGTTAATAGAAGTAGTATCATATACATATTATAATACTATACTATATTAAAAATCTATAGTAAAGTTATTCTAGTTATATAATAAGTAATTATAAAGGTTAATAATATTTAGTTATTATAATAGTAAAAAAGAGTAGTCTTAGTGTATTTTAGTAAGAACTAGGTAGTTAATCAGTAGGTGCTTTTACTTTAACTTACGTAAAACATTTATTATAACTAAAAGCGGAGAAGAACAGCTACATAAGTTATTTAGTAAGTAGCAGTATTCCTGTTACTTAGACCAAAAGACTTGGTAGTAGCTTTAGGACTATGTAAAACAAGGGTGCTTAGCAACGCTCTTCATTAGTGCCCTTGGAAATAGAGTCTGGAATGTGATACTAAGAGCTATAATCTTAGACTAATATTTGACGTTCCTAGAGCAGACGCCTCTTTACTCAGCGGGCCTAATTATTAAGCTAGATCGCTAACTTGTTCTAACTTAACTATGTAAAAATACCCTAAGAATACTCCCTGTTAACACGTTCCTGATTATATGTCTCAGCCAGCTACGTACTGGCAATTCTTTTGCATTCCTTAATAGAATTTCCAGTGTGTTTGGTTATTAACCTTCCCTCGCGTCTTGTATTTACCTTCATCTCACTATGCTTTTTGTCCCTTCCTATTATCTATCCTCTCTTTAAGCTAGGAACTCCTCGAACTTGTATAATCACTGCGTATTGTACTCTCGTTTACACACGCTTGTTTTTAACACGCCTGCTTCTAAACATTTTGGCACTTGAGACTCTTGCTTACCGCTTCAAAATGAACCCTCTTTGATCTTTCTTGGAGTCCTTCGTCTCTCTCAGACTACTTTAGCTCATCATTCGTTTCACTCTCCATCACACTACAGTCCATACCGGCAACAAACACCTACGTCAAACCACGCCTCTCCTGGCGGCTGTCCTTGCTTTGACCACGGCCGCCGCAGCTCAGCAGGTTGTCCTCGCTGTGCGCACCGCTACTGTTACCCAGTGCATTACCGCCGCCGCCGGCAAAATCCCTAACTCAGCTGCTTGCGCACCGACCCCGATCGTCCACCTGCCCTATGTCACCGGTGGCCTAGTCTGCAGTCGTTCTTTCACTCACCCGCCCTCTCAGACTTCAGTTTTAATCCATTCACTTACTCGACTCTCTGCGTCCCTTCTATTCTGAAAACTATGGACAGACGACATGGACTTTTCCTCCTCAGCCTCATTTCCCGACTTGTCAGTGCAACTGTCCTTGGTCCTCCCGACCTTATCTGGGCCCTGCCTGAGACGTACTGTCTCACCTACCTGTCTACCTTCCTCGAGCTGGCTCCCCTTCCGACCGCCATCATCCCCACTGGTGCCAACGTGACTGTCGTCAGAGGAACCACTGTTACCGACTCGGCCGTGAACTCGGCGGCATCAGGCACCGTTAGAGTCAGTAGGGGAACAACGGGCACTGTCCCGAGCACAGGAACCACTGTCATCGGAGGAACAACCGTCACTGTCCTAGGCGGAGGAACAACCGTCACCGGAGGAACAACCGTTATTAGAGGAACTACGGTCACATCTACGCCAACCGTTACCACTATACTCACAGCTTCCTCATCCTCTACTTTAGCTACTGCTACTGCCACCGTCAATCCTGTCATCTTCTTTATTAGCCCTGCGCCCGGAGTCACCAAGAGGGGCCTACAGAAGCAAGCTAACGGCGGCTTTGTAAATACCAACATCACTAACAACTGCAACAGCTGCAATAACGCCACTACCTTCACAATCTCCCTGGGCCAGCTGTTTGACGCTGGTAACCCTATCTTTTATAACCCAGGCGAGGCTTTTAGGAAAATGAATAACGCTGGTGTCCCGCCTATTAACGCCATAACTAGCACCTTTGACACTATAGGTGGCGTCCTCCGCTTTACTAACCGAGGCATCCCCAACGGCCAGGCGAATTTCTGCCAGGACTTGACCGGTCAGGTCTACCTCACCTTTAACTCAGTAGGGCCTAATGGATGCCAGCCTATCCTTCTGTATGCCTATAGAGGTAAGTTCTAGATCTATTTCTTTCAGAACAGAATAGTTTTAAGTGACTTGTAAGATAACATTGCTAAATTAACTAAAACAGCTAGCCAATGCGTTGACGGCCAGATTGTTGGCGCCACGCTCCCTACAGGATTATGTCCTTTACAGTTATCCTCGGCTACGTTGTCTGTCAAGTCTACTTCGTCTGCTTCTTCAACAGCTACTTTATCTACTACGTCAGGTTCTGCTACGACATCTGTCACTTCTACCAGCACCTCATTCGACTCTTCTGCCAACTCTACTTCTAGTTCTTCTACATCTAGGTCTTCTACATCTAGGTCTTCTACCACTGAAACGTCCAGTTCTACTATAACTGCTCTTACTTTTATAAACACGTCATCAGATTCTTCTCTTATCTCGAGTCTTGATTCTTCTATAAACACTTTGCTTAGCTTCTTCACCACCATTTCTTCTCAGTTACCTAGCAGCACCTCCACTAGTCTAGTAACATTATTACCAGAATCGTCTACCTCATCAGTTGAGACTTCTACATCGTTAGTAGAGGCTTTTACGTCAACAGAGGCTTCCACGTCAACAGAGGCTTCCACGTCAACAGAGACTTCCACGTCAACAGAGACTTCCACGTCAACGGGAACGTCAACATCTACAACATCTCCAGCACCTACAAATCCCTGTCTTGCTGCGCCAGATCCCTTTACTGCGACAAACGGACAAAGATATAATAAGTACTGTAGTTCTCTGTTTCAATCGGACAACAGACTAGGGTCAATATACCCCTATAACCAAGGCTATACTAAATGCCCTGATGTATGCGCAGCAACTTTTGTAGGTATTACTATTACTGTATTTGTCTATGGTAGAAACGGAAATGAGCCTTATTTCTGTGAGTGCTGGACTGGACAACCTCTTAAGAGGGGTCTTGGAAATTATCCAACTTACGATAGTGGAGTCCTTATTACAAGTTAGACTAGCCTAGGTTATAATTAGTAGCTAGGACAGTAATGCTATTTATATAGATTAGAAGGGTTAGGCTTTTAGAAAGTTTTAAGAAATAATCTATATAGCTAAGTCTTATTTTATAAACGCCTATAACTATAACTTAGGTATTTAGGTTAATAATGTTAACTCAAATAATCTATCTATAAAATCAACTGCATACTTTATAGGGCTATTTAGCCCTAAATTTATCTAAACCTTCTTAACTTCTAAGTAGTATATTAATCTAGGTTATCACACTATAGTACACTATGGCTATTACTAATCCTGTATTTTATTGTTAGTAAATAATAAACATATTGAGCTTCTAACTTTACGTACCCAAGGGGCAGGGTGGATTGGCTTTGATATAAGTGATGCGCACTCGTTATATTTGCATATGTTAGGAAAGCAGCAAATTGACTTCCAGTCGCACCATTCGCCTTTACGTTTACAGAATCTTGGCTTTAGTTGTTGTAGAGCATCGCGGGATGCTAGATAGTCTTTGTTGTCTGGTACTGGAGAGGCAATAGTACTTATAGCTAAGGCAAAAGTAGTAATAAAGAAACGCATCTTAAGTAATTAAGATAAAGTGATAATAATGATTTATAAATGTAACTTAGATAGCAGAAAAGACTCAAGACAGAAGAAACCTTAGGCCTTTTATATAAGATTACTTAGTTAGTCTTTCTAAAAATACTAAGTTTATAACATAAATATACTATATTAAGATCTTAAAGAGGCTATATTTATACTATAAGTGTTTTCAAATTTTTAAACCTTATTATATAACTATTATAAGATTTAGATTTTCTAATACTCTAATATATTACTCTTTTATAGAGGATTAATATATAGGCATAAGAAATTAATACATAGGCATAAGCCTTCCATAGGCATAAGATGCACGCTCTCTAATTAGTCTATAAAAAATGTTAATACAACCAAATTCTGCTAGACCCACAGGAGGTAGCCCATCGCGGCAGCCCATTGCAGCTTATTAAGGCAGCCTATTGAGGCAGCCTATTGCGGCGGTAGGAAACAGGCGCTATGGGGGTTCTTTTCACGGCCGTGGGAAACAGGCTCAATAGGGGGTTCTTTTTACAGCCGTAGAAAATAGACTCTTTCTAGTAACTATAAGTAATAGCTAATTAACTATGAATTAGTAGGTAAATCTATAAATAGCTTTAATCTAAGAGAGTGTACCAAAGTATTGTAATTAGTAATAGGTTAAAGTAAGGTAAATTCTGCTATTATTAATTAGATAGATTTCCCTGCCTAAAGGTGGCAATTTAGACAATAAATCTATTAGGCAAATAGCTATAAATTCGAGGCCATAACTACAGCAAATTCGCTGCAGTTATCTAATATTTACACCATCAATATACGCCTAATTGACCAGGGATAATCGCCGTATCCACGCACTTCAACAGATGTTGTTGATGGATGTAGGATTTTTGGATTGCCAGGATGTAGGGCTGGCCTGTACATAGGGTGGGGTGATTAATAGATTCTACTTGAACTACACCATAATTGATCTCGCCTATCTGCCCACCGTCAATGACCTAGCCAAGAGGCATTTTCTAGCCACTAAATGATAAATGTAACAAGGATTCTTAGAAGCTGTCACGGGTTCGCCCATCACAGCTTCTATGCTAAAACGCTCTTTCGTTGTAGTTTTGTAGGCGTGTATCTTGGGCTCTGCAGGCACAATCATGAGCACCATGCCGGCAAAGTCCGTGGGCACTAGCATCGATACGACCAATCAATAGCCAAAGCTTTCACCAAGTACAGTAACTAAAGTGGCTCGTGTCCCTTGGCTCAAGATGCTAAGCTACAAGTAAGCATGTCTCGATGATTTCATTCTCGAATCATCACTAGCGCAAGACACAATGGGCTAGACGCAGCGTTCGCACATTTCGGACAGGCCAAAATTTCCGTCAAATTCTTTTCCTGTAGCCAGATGGAATCGGCCTTAGCCAGTAGGTCCAATCGGCGGTTGTGTACGCCGATAGCTGCATGCCCCATTGGCGCCATCGCGTCGCCCCGTAGATCTATGACGAAAGACCATACTCAATCTCCCAGACGATGCTCTTTGTCTCTGAAATGAAAAGAACATCCCCCCACATGGCTCCAGCCCCCAGCGCCAACGTGGTGCTGACGCGACCAACATGTTTTGCTAGCAACAACCTATAAGTCGTCATAGACCCTGACTTGGCCGTTCGGGTTGGCCGGCCGCTCAAAAAGACCGAGGCCGTTTATATGCTGCTCATTGCAGCGGTCTTATGTCTATTCCGTTCACCCTTAGAGCAACGGATCAGCAAGTTAGATTCGCCCTAGCTACCCAGTGCTACTCTGTGGTTCTTGTGAAAACAAACACTATATGGGACAGTTGGCTCCTGCGCAATCAATGTCGACTTTTCCTTCTCTGGCCAGCTGCCTAAACGTTCCGTCCCTCGCTTCAGGAGCTCCAACGAGCCAAAGACTTTATGCTAGATCTACCACTGGTGAAGAACTACATTGAGCAACAAGTCTTGACGATCTCATACTGCGACGCTCAACTTATTTCCCATGGACGAGAAACCTACCCCTCGGGATTGTGATATTCCTGGCGGCTATCCCGAGACGCCTAGTCTTGTCCCAACCAGTGGCCGTCCCACGCCTATGGGTTTTTCTGGCGACAGTAATAAGAGTTTATCCGTCGCCCAAGTAACAAATTCGGGGTCTGATCAGAGATCCCAAAGTCATGTTCAAACGACCTACTTTACGGCCACCTCCGCTGTTACTGGCGACACTTCATCGTCCACCGTCACCCTTTCTAGCCACAGCGCCGCAGCAACAGGTAGCCGCAAACCTTCCAGTGGGCTAGACGACCTGTCCGAAAAACAGTTATATCCTCAAGGTGAAACCACCTCGCCTTCTTCAAGCGCCATGTCTCCGACCGATAGAACTCAGTTTGCGCCTCTGATAACCAATATCAGCAATGCGAAAAGGCCGAACGCACAAAGGCAAGGTAGCAACATCACTGAAGACGACCTTTTTCGAGCGCTGTCGCGCCGTCGTACGAACGCAACGAATCAAAATGATCCCGAACAGGGAGAGGAACAACAAGAGATCGAGCGTCTAATGTCACGGATTTTCGGCCGAGCACGACAAGAACAAAGTGAGGAGGAAAAGACTAGGCACAGCGGCGTTATCTTCCGCAACCTCACTGTCAAGGGTGTTGGTCTCGGAGCTAGTTTGCAACCAACGATTGGAGATATCTTTCTCACTTTGCCGCGCAAGGTCAAAATGCTCTTCACCCGCGGTCCCAAAACAGCGTTTGCCAAGCCGCCAGTTCGTGAGCTGATCAGTCACTTCGATGGCTGTATCCGCCCTGGAGAGCTTCTCCTTGTTTTGGGTCGTCCAGGGTCGGGTTGCAGCACATTTCTGAAGGCTTTTTGCAACCAGCGAGCAGGATTTGAAGCCATTGAGGGTAAGGTTACTTACGGGGGCGCCACTGCTGAGGAGATGAGCAAGAAGTTCCGAGGAGAGATCATCTACAACCCAGAGGACGATCTTCATTACCCAACCCTTACTGTCAAAAGAACTCTCAACTTTGCCCTCCAAACTCGCACTCCTGGTAAAGAGTCCAGACTCGATGGAGAAAGCAGAGAAGACTATATCCAGGAGTTTATGCGGGTGGCTACGAAGTTGTTTTGGATCGAGCATACCCTTGGCACAAAAGTTGGTAATGAATTTGTTCGAGGCGTTTCTGGCGGCGAAAGGAAGCGTGTCAGTATTGCAGAGGCAATGATCACCCGGGCATCTGTTCAAGGGTGGGATAACTCTAGCAAAGGCCTCGATGCCAGTACTGCCGTGGAATATGTGCGGTCGATCCGAGCGATGACCAATATGGCCCAGATTTCGACGGCTGTGTCGTTATATCAAGCTGGCGAATCCCTTTATGACCTTGTCGACAAGGTGCTGCTTATCGACTCTGGGAAGTGTCTTTACTACGGACATTCCGAGGCTGCCAAGCAGTACTTTATTGATCTCGGTTTCGAGTGCCCGAACCGGTGGACAACTGCCGACTTCCTCACTTCGGTTACGGACGTGCACGAGCGGCACATCCGTGAGGGATGGGAGAACCAGATTCCTAGAACCCCTGAAGAATTTGACACGGCATACAGAAATAGCGACGCCTACCAAAGAAATCTCCGTGACATTGAGGACTTTGAGTCTCAGCTTTCCCGACAGATGGAGCAGCGCCGTCAACACGAATCCAAGAAATCGGAGACGAAGAACTATGAGATTCCCTTCCATAAACAGGTTCTGTACTGTACAAAGCGTCAGTTCATGGTAATGTCAGGTGATCGAGCATCTCTTTTCGGGAAATGGGGCGGCCTGGTGTTCCAGGGCCTCATTGTTGGCAGTCTGTTTTACAATCTCCCAAATACCGCCGCTGGCGCGTTCCCTCGAGGCGGAACTTTATTCTTCCTCCTTCTTTTCAACGCCTTGCTGGCTCTTGCGGAACAAACTGCTGCATTCGAGTCAAAGCCCATCCTTCTCAAGCACAAGTCCTTCTCCTTCTACCGTCCCGCCGCTTTTGCCATCGCTCAAACGGCCGTGGATGTGCCCCTCGTCTTCATTCAAGTTGTGCTCTTCAACGTCATCATCTATTGGATGTCCAACCTAGCAAGAACGGCGTCTCAGTTCTTCATCGCCACACTAATACTCTGGCTAGTTACCATGGTGACTTACGCATTCTTCCGGGCGATCTCTGCTTGGTGTAAGACTCTGGATGATGCAACGAGATTCACGGGTGTGGCTGTGCAGATCCTGATCGTCTACACTGGATATCTCATTCCGCCCAGTTCAATGCGGCCGTGGTTTGGATGGCTTCGATGGATCAACTGGATTCAGTACGGCTTTGAGTGCCTCATGTCCAACGAATTCTACAATCGTCAACTCGAATGTGTTCCGCCTTACTTGGTCCCACAGGGACCGAACACGTCACCAGAATTTCAAGGCTGCGCCCTCGCCGGAAGTTCTCCGGGACAAACCATTGTACCTGG